GGGTGAAGACTTGTAGTCAACTGTAAATGTACGTCAGAGCACCGTTAGAATAACTCTGTTACCTCAGCACTGTCAGACCTACCGGTTCAACGTAAATTAACAATGCGGCGGATAAAATCGACTTTTTAAGAACTGGTTCCGAATGCAACCTGTCAGTTTCAGGACTGGTATCAATTGGTCAAGACAAACTGGTAGCGTCCGACTAAGGCAAAGTCAAATTGCCGACCAACGTGATAGGTTTTCCGCTTTGACTGTGTGACTAAAACCTGGGCGATTTCTAGAAAGTCTAAAAAAAGGGTTTCTGCATCATACTGTCGCTAAAAGGCATTATGACAGTGCATGCGAAGGTGAAGTGCACGTATGACAATGGAAATATCGATTCGTCGTTAGTTACCCTGGTCACGTCGTCCCACCCAGCATGTCATATGGATACCGCAAAACTCATTTGCGATTCACTCGATGATTCAGTGAGTTAGGGCGTAGGCCGATTGCTGTCAGTCAAAACTGCAACACCGCGTCATGATAGCACTGGTTGCAAAGATGAGGGAGAGATATCAGTGCAAAAACCGGACTCTTCTGGTGTGCGGACGGAGACTTCTAGCGTGCATAGGAAACAAACCTCAAGCCAGCGCTGATCAGCTACCAGCAGCAATTCCATCACATCATATTTTGATGTATCAAGTGAGACCATGGATCATATTTTTTGTTGTGACCACTACGTGCACTACATGCCAGCTCCCAGCACTCACACATCTATGGATCGGCATGTCTGGAGAACTATATGTGTGGCGGCTGATCCTTCGTCGGGAGATGGGTGGTAGGCGACAAAATCTAGTTCCAGTGCTACTCTTCATCTCTACTTCACGGTTTGAGATAGCTTAATTGACAGAGAGCCTTGGAATGCCGTGCAAATGTGCTATAGTCCTTTTTTACCAAAGGTGATTTGGTCCCAAAGTACTGGCTTCTATAGTCTGTAGATAGCTGCTGTATCCGTGTTTCTTGAAGGTGGGCAATTCACTTAAATGTGTAACATGATTTTAAAAAATCGAAAATGTCACAAAAGTTTTCTTTATGGGTACGCAGAAGCCGAATGGGCTCACATCAGTTTTCGGCCTCGGATCGACATCACTAACTGAAACTACACAAGCATGTACATCAGTTTTCGGCCTCGGATCGACATCGCTAACTGAAACTATACAAGCATGTACATCAGTTTTCGGCCTCGGATCGACATCACTAACTGAAACTATACAAGCATGTACATCAGTTTTCGGCCTCGGATTCACATCACTAACTGAAACTATACAAGCATGTACATCAGCTTTCGGCCTCGGATCCACATCACTAATTGAAACTATACAAGCATGTAGCCTGCTCAGTTTGGCTAATATCCAACCATACTTGGTCGATTCGCCATCCTATTTTATGGGTTCCATCGTCGTCTGCACCATTTGCTGAAGTTTTGGTGCCAGTAAACATAACTGTCAGTTTGAACTCATGTGTACCCCAATGTGCCGTCATTGCTTCAAGCAACCTGGCTAAGTTACGACACTAACTGTACTGGAAATAATTCCCTAGGATTGTTTTGAAACATTGGAAACATCCATGCGCGACGCTTTCGCGGAAATGACTGTTCTGCTCATGGTGTTTGCTAGTGCGGAGCTGCAGACGACAGCGGCTGTGTTCGCGCCCGTGGCCTGCGGCGCGGCGGGCCGGTGTGCGGCGTCCGGCCGCCCGCCGGTGGCTGGCCATGTGCTGTCATTGTGTAAAGTGATCGGGGCGGAAAATCCCCGGGTAGCGATGACGCCAGGGTGAGTCGTCGGCAGCCGGCGTCGACTCGTTCCGCATGGCTGAGCGGATCGCGGCGTTCCCAGATCTGTCGCCCGCTCCGCTCCCACCGGATACGCCGGCGCTGGGGACCGGCGTGTTTACGTCCTCTTTACGCTGGATCGCCGGCAAACAAAGGCTCAGCTTCAGTCGTCGGACGCCACTTAGCCGCGGCGCTGGCCGCTGGTTCTCTCAGGCGCGCACGGCACTGGCCAGTGGCCGCAGCCTTTGAGAGCTTCCAGGAACGTGTTTGTCTCTTGGATGCTGTCCACACCTGTTCTGTTTGGACATTTCTTTATCTTCTCCTACTTCGGATTTGCGAGATTCGCTTATTCTTTGTTCACTCTTACTTTGGAAACGGCAGGACAACCATATTTTTTTAGGCCTTGATCGTCACATGGCCAATGAAATGGCATGATTTGAACGACTTTATTATAACCTCATGGATGCGGGTGACGTTTAAATAGCCTGCATGAAATAGTCTGCACATCTTCGCGGGCGTGCATCTCAGGAATCTGTGGTGTCTGCCTCACATACCACACAGAGAGAAAGAAAGAGAGAGAAAGAGAGGGGGAGAGAGAGACCCTTATTTTGGACTTAAGACATCGGGCTTTCCACTTATTTCGTACCTCTTTTTCGTACTAAGTTTATTTTGATCAGGCTTTGAGAGGTTTAGACAAGCGTGGAGAGGGACAAGACCTCACCAAAGAGGCACAAAGCTTCACACATGCTCGTGCTATTACCTCAGGCGTCTTGGTAGTGATGTTTTCCGTGAATGCAATGTTTCCAACTGTCGAAATATGGTACCACGGAACCGTGCCTCACGAAAAGCCTTGTTTTCGTTTGCAGTAATCATCAGGTCGGGAAACTCCTGCTTTCACCATTGCCAGCCGACATGACATGAAGAATAAGAAGCAGGTTCCGGCCCCCAACGAGTACAACACAAGACAACTGACAAACAAAGGTCAGTATTTCGGCAGCATTATTCGATTACGTTGAACAGCAGTCATCATTAGTTCAAGCAGCTTCAGATGACACAGCAGCAAGGCTTCGGTGCTTTGAAAAATGAAAGCACCGTTCCCAGTCATACCGTTTCATTTTTGCAGTTTTGGAGAGGTGTGTTATATAACGACAAGTAAAGTTGTACCCATGTAAATTATATCATGTATATACTTGGAACGTGGCAGTTCTATCACAGGTAGCTGTTTTATTTCACAAAGCCACGCCTCTTGTGTCATTCGAGCTTCAAGGAGCGTTGCCTGGTCGCCAATGTAGTGAGTCTTTCCCCGCCAGACAAGGTCTTCGAAGAATAGTTGAGTTGTAACTCGGTAACTTGATTTCGCGCAAGTTCGCGTAGAATGTTTTTAACTGTGTTAGAAGTGAATGCCTCTGTCAACCTAAACGGGCAAAAATATGACGGAACTTTGTGGAATATTTTTTATATTTGTACATATGCATATATTTAATTCCCGTAGGACAAGTTCGCCCTTACGCACGGACTTTTATGAACTTCATGAAAACTGCTATATCAGGTTAAATATTTTATTGTTTTGCACACATATGCTCTCAAAAATCTTGATAATCGAGTAGTATGCCTTGTAAGCAAAACAGTGCATTTGCATAGGTACAGTAGATTCCTAGATTTAATGACTTGAATTAATCCCACCTCTGAAGGCAATCTGATCCGTGGTGCGTTGGTGTCATGATTACACCAATGCAAATTGCAAAAGCACGAATGTAGGGATGAACAGGGACATTGCCAGCTAAAATGAACGCAAGATAAATATGTGTCAAGTGCTACGCTCATTCTAATGTATGTTTCACCAGGATTTGTCTACCATTTCGGCGTTGTTTCACATGTCTTAAACTGACTATAACGGGACGGCCTCAGGCAACATCAAAAGAGACGTCGTGCATTCTGTTTTTGTCATTTAATCTAGGTGCACGTGCACAACATGTTTTGACAGGAGTCCTTGAGCTACGGCCAAACTGATCATTTACTGTACCATTCCGACACCATAGATTTACATAGAATAGCTGACTGCCTGCCTCTGACCAAATGAACATGGGCTGAAGTCATCTTGGTCTGGTTAGCACGGAAATAGCCAGGCAAAATGCAATGTAATACGTTCACTCATTCGCTGACGTGCACATGCTATGATACCATATGTGTTCCTTCCCTACGCTGGTCGTCCTTAATGTTGTACAAGTTTCGTTCCCGTAATTTTGTCATTCTTATAACGTTTAGAATCTTTAGATACCTCCATGTAAAGCACGCTAGGTAATCAGAAAGCCTCCCCCAGAGATGATATTAAATCTTGATCTTTTTATCGTGCTTTTCCTTAAAAGAACTGCTCATTTGTATCATTTAATGCTCCAGATTGTCTGTTATCCCAGTTTCGGGTCGGCTCCCGATACACCTATTCCGGACGAGGAGCCAAGTCCGCCTCACCTCTCCCCCTTCAGCGCTCGGGAACCTACTCGGCTGACTTGGAAAAAGATGTTTAAAATTTCTTTCGATGAAATCTACATTTCAAAACTAAAAAATGTTAGGCATTTAAGACGCGAGTGAGTAGGCGACAGGAAGCTTAATGTCCAACATATTGTTGTTTCAAATGAGCTCTGTAATTTATTAACCGATTTCAGTTCAGATCAATAACTAGTGGTTCCAAGGTTCGTAGATTGTTGAAATATTTTAAAATGGAAAATCCATGGACACATTACAAAGACACAAAACGGGAAAACGACAAAATTGTCAAAACGGGATTTGATTGAGTGCGTTTGAAACGGATGGGACAGTACCTTGCTTTGTTATCAGAAAAAGGTTCAACCCAAAACTCGGTCATATATATTTTGTGCTAATTAGAGCGCCCATTGGTGTGGTGAAAAAAGCGAAGGTAGATGAGAAGTAGATATTGTCATCGGTCATTGTGGTGCCATTCGCTATAACTCGGTGCCTATATGACATATATTAATAAATGTCATAGGGCGCATTCAGCTTTCCAAAGGAGGGCAATGCGAACACGTGATTTAGCTTGACCCTTGTCGCGGCCACCACCTGACGATCCGCAGTTGGTGGCCAAGGTTCGGTGTACCGTAGCCTCATCCCTTTCGTCGTTTCTGGACCCACCTCGAGCATAGTTCTTCAAAATCCTGTTGACTGTGCGGATGTAAAGGACGGAATGCAACACTCCGTTAAAAACCGTTACGTTCGAGATGTTATGAACCCTTTGCGGGATTCCCCGGAGGTTCCTGTGAGCAGAAAGTCTCTTTTTCTTCATCCAGCTTCACTTGTGGGACTATTTACCTGCATTATCCATGTATAGCACGTAGTCCTGGAATAGGCTTTAAGCCATGTTCTTTTGCGCCCCTTTTTGTGCCAATCTTAACACGGTTTGGCCACTGTATTTATCAACTGTTGTGTTTAACTTTCCGTTAAGTTCCAATACAGCCAACACCACGCAATTTATTCTACACCACTCTTGCGCCACCCCTCGTACATCACTGTACTTTATAGAGCAAAAGTTAGTTTGTACCCGTCAGTCTGCCTGGCACAGCAGCAAAGTTGGTCCAGTGGATGCGGAAAACAGGGGAATACCAGCGGAACTTGCCATGTGAAGTCAGGGTTATCCAGGACGTCGCAGTCGCGCTTGCAAGCGGCCTTCGGCAGGCGAATGCTTTAGCGTACTGCGGCCTTCGGCAGGCGAATGCTTTAGCGTACTGCGGCCTTCGGCAGGCGAATGCTTTAGCGTACCAGCGCTGCAGCCGAGCATGACCAGGACACGATGGCTGTAGAACGATGGCGTCCACCTTGTTCGGGTTGGGCTCCCATGGCGTTGATTGACGACCAGGCGCGAACCACTAGCACCCATAGTTACACATCGCTTTCGTCACTAATTGATCTGGAGCTGCTGTCGTCACCAGCTGATTACATGTGTGACATCACCGATCTCTTCTGTGGAGGTCGCCGAGGCGTTCATTGACTCGTGCTATCACTACGTAACGGTGCCCATGGACGAGGCACCCTACCACTGCATAACGACAGCTGTAGATGAGATATAAGGTTCCCGTACAGCAGTACCTGTTGATCAGGTGTGACGTCACCACGCATCAGGTGTGACATCACCACGCATCGGCACGGTTAGGCCATATGTGACGTCACCATACACGGCACCCGTGGTCGAGACACGACTTCACTGTACAGTGACACTTGTGGCTGCTTGTGACGGTGTGACCAGGCAGCGTTGGTGTGCCGGTGTGTGAGGGAGAGGCGGACCTGACTGCGCGCTCCGCTGCCGCTCAGGGAAGGACATTGCCCCGTCACGCACCATTGCTGGCCGGGCCAAGGACCCGCAGCCGTACAAGACGCCGGCGCCCGGCACGTACGATTTGGATGACGGCTCGGTGGTGGAGTCATCACCGCGCTACAGCTTTGGCGTCAAGACCACCATGGAGCATCCCAACGGCGTACCCGGTCAGTCAAGGCAGCGTGGATTTGGTCCCCTCTCTGCACCCGCACCTGTACTCCCTCACGTTCTGGACCCTTACGTACCTGGTCATTCGCAATTATGTGCGCTGTTATATCCTTTTGCGCCCGGTAGTCTCTTGTGCATGCATGGTCAGAACCCGGTCGTAAATGCTAGTCATCTGTCGCGTTCTGGAAGTCGTACGCATTGAACACCATGCCCTGCATGTCAGCATCTGTGAAAGGCCGGTAGTGTCACCTAAGTGAGTAACGTTTTGTGCGAGCAGCAGTGTCGCTGACTCGTGCTCGGTGGCAGTTGATGTGCTCCTGAGCACTGGCCGGTGCTCCGTGCTGGCGGTGTGAGCCAGCTGTTGCACGCTGGTGACCTGGGCCGTGGGTCAGCAGCACTCTAGCCCTAACCGGTGTGCTGTTGGGCAGCGCCCAACGCGTACGACATGCCAGACTCGCTGGGCCAGGAGACGCCGCGCTACACGATCCGCGGTCGCGGCCGCGACGAGGTGGACGAGCGCGTCAAGTACCCGGCGCCTTGCCAGTACGAGCCGGCCAAGGCGGACGCGGCGCTCAACAAGAGCCCAGCCTACTCGCTGCGGGACCGCACCGCGCTACCGATGGACCGCACCAAGAAACCCGGACCCGGTGCCTACAACCTCGACGACAAGGTCAGCCACAAGGTCACCGGATCCACTCGTGGCGCGATCGCGGATGAGAACGTTGGAGGAGGGGTCGACAATGGGCTGGGAGCCAGCAGGACTCTGGTGTTGGCAGGCGGGGACGGATAGGGTGCAGGGTCAACAGGACCCTGATGCAGGCAGGTGGGGTCGGATAGGGGGCGGGGAGTCAGCATGACTCTGATGTAGGCAGGTGGGGAACGATAGGGAGCGTGGAGTTAGCAGGACTCCGGTGTAGCCAAGTGGGAGGCGGATAGGGGGCGGGGAATTAGCAGGACTCTGGCGTAGGCGGGCGGGAGCGGATAGGGTGCGGGGAGTCAGCAGAACTCTGGTGTAGGCAGGCGGGAGCGGATAGGGTGCGGGGAGTCAGCAGAACTCTGGTGTAGGCAGGCGGGAGCGGATAGGGTGCGGGGAGTCAGCAGAACTCTGGTGTAGGCAGGCGGGAGCGGATAGGGGGCGGGGAGTCAGCAGAACTCTGGTGTAGGCAGGCGGGAGCGGATAGGGTGCGGGGAGTCAGCAGAACTCTGGTGTAGGCAGGCGGGAGCGGATAGGGGGCGGGAGTCAGCAAGAACTCTGGTGTAGGCAGGCGGGAGCGGATAGGGTGCGGGGAGTCAGCAGGACTCTGGTGTAGGCAGGCGGGAGCGGATAGGGTGCGGGGAGTCAGCAGAACTCTGGTGTAGGCAGGCGGGAGCGGATAGGGGGCGGGAAGTCAGCAGAACTCTGGTGTAGGCAGGCGGGGGCGGATAGGGGTGCGGGGAGTCAGCAGAACTCTGGTGTAGGCAGGCGGGAGCGGATAGGGTGCGGGGGGTCAGCAGAACTCTGGTGTAGGCAGGCGGGAGCGGATAGGGGGCGGGGAGTCAGCAGAACTCTGGTGTAGGCAGGCGGGAGCGGATAGGGGGCGGGGAGTCAGCAGAACTCTGGTGTAGGCAGGCGGGAGCGGATAGGGTGCGGGGAGTCAGCAGAACTCTGGTGTAGGCAGGTGGGGGCGAATAAGCGGCGGAGATTCGGCAGGGCTCTGGCGTAGAACTGCCGTGGCATACAGCTACCATGACCTCAGCTCTACCTGCTTTAAGCAGGAAGGGGTGCTTGAAGTGCGCCTCCCTGATGCCTTTTAAATCGAGTGTTTGACATTTGTAGGGGCTTTGAACTGAAATGACCATTTTTAAAATCGTTGGATGCAGTTCACAGCCCTGCCCTTGAGACCAAAACCCCTTTAGTTTCTGAGCGAAACGCCCGCGAAAATTTGCAGACTATTCACGCTGACTATTTCAAGGTCACCCTTGCATCCATAACGTGATAATAACGTCATTAATGTTCTTCCGTTTCACTGACCATGCAATGATCAAGGCCAATACAAATATAATTGCTGAGTCGTTCATACGGTGACGCAATTAAACAAAACACCATAATGTTCGTACCACGCACGTTCACCTAAATAGAGACAATGTGCTGTCTAGAGCAGTCTTTTCCATTTAAAAGTGCACCAAAATTTAAAAGTAAGCTTATTTCATCATGTGTGATGCGTGCTCCGATATTTTAAATGTGGAACGTGTGACGACCTCTTCCGCAGCGCCATATGTTACTGTTTGGTTGGGCATCGCCGTGACGTGCCGTTTTAGTGGTCACGAGAGACAAGCTGAGAGGGTCTGATAGGCGCCGTGACGTCACATCCTTGATAACATTGTTGTGACGTAACAGCTTGGCAGGGTGGTACCGTGACCTCATCTCTTACCAGAGCCGTGCCGTGACATCATCTGCTGGCAGGGCAGTGCAGTGAAGTTACGCCCTGGCCAGACAACGCCCCAGCGTGACCTTAGTCACTGACGAGTATCCGTTAACGATCTGATTCCGATGCTGATGTCAGGGGCTGCGCGTTGACGCGTGACGTCATCTGTCCGGCCGTTTCAGAGTGTGAAGGCGCGGGACCCGCAGTACTCGTTCGGCCTGAAGCACTCGCCGTACGTGGGCTCATTCAAGCCGGGCCAGGCTGAGGGGACCGTGACGCTGCAGACGTCGGCGGTGCGGCCGACAGACAAGGTGCTGCGCGGCGGCGAGGTGGTGCGCGTGACGCCCGAGGGCCTCACGTGCCGCTGGGTGGACCGCGGCCTGTCGCCCCGCTCCAGCGGCACCAGCAGCCGCACAATGGAGACGCGCGTCAACAGCGACGGCTCGACAACCACCCGTCAAACGACCAGCATGCACCGCACTGTCCAGATGAGCATGTGAAGCCGCCCGGCTGTGCGGCGGTCCCAGCGCTGACGACGGTCCCGAGGGTACCGGCGGCGCCGACGACACCACACGACAACTAGTGGAGCAGGCAGCTGTGTGCGTCATAAGGCTACCTGCCAGCGCGGCAGTTAACGCTCACTAAAAGTGCGATTAGCTGGCCGATACCAGGCATCACGTAAAGAGTAACTTGGTCGATGGTAATTGCTTTAGCGGGGTATTTATGTCCGAATAACGTTGTAGGCTCTGCCAAATAAGCATTTCTAGACCTTCCGGCCGCTAGGCAGGGACAGCAACGTCTTCCACATTATTTTCTGATCTGTGTGAGGTACTAACCAATAAGATAATATCTGGTTGCACGAATATATATATATATATATATATATATATATATATATATATATATATATAGGCTTCATCGAAAGCTGAGTAGTATTGAACTGTGACAATGTTTCTGTGAAATCATTCGATGTTTCTGATAAGCCTTTTTGGGTCGGATTGAAATCCGAATATTGCATCACCAAGCTTGCTCATATAATAAGTCGTATCTTGGTCATATATTCATTAAAATGTCACGTTTGTGCCTAATCAATGAACCATTATCAGATCTGGTATGTCGTACGCGATCGAAAAAACACTTCACAGTTTTGAATGATTTGAGCTAGCAAATTAAATGTCTCATGAAATAAGCTGTGAAAGGTTGTAATCATGGAATATAAATAAACATGCTTAGAGTTAGCTCAGGCGCGTCGTGTATGACTTAACGTATGAACTTATCATGTCTTGTTAACTTATTTCACAAATATATTGTTCCCTTTTCATACAAATCAACCATACGACCGTCTACAGCATATCATATCTGTTTACGAATGGCTTAAGGATTAAGCCAAAACGTACCGCTTTAATGAATATATGACCGATATGCAACCTGTTATACAAGTCATCTTGGAGATTTACTCTTTGGATTCAAACCGACACAAAAAGCTAATACAAAACGTCGCCAGGCAGAATGGAAAAAAAGCCCACAGCTACTTGCTTGTCAATGAAACGTACTTAAAATGGATATTTTGGACTAGATACGCGAATATATATATATATATATATATATATATACGCATACGGCTGCATAAATGTATCTGTATTAAAAGACAAATAATGGAAAACTTTAGCATACTGCCCTTAGAAGGATATCATTCTAACGCTAGATCCACTTGTGATGTACGACTGGCCAATGTTTTTTGTCCTTGGAAATGTAGTATTCCTGAGAGTGTTTCTCAAGACATCTTGCTGCGGGCAAACAAAAAGCACCTGTCCATGACCCGCTGCTGCAACGGCAATATCACGTTCAGCTGTCTGCTTCAAAACATTCCTAAGACTGCCGTGCCCAAGCAATGTGTCACAGTAACCTTTTTAATTCGTCTTGCGGCTTCGCTTTATTAAGTGCAGTTTTCTTGAACTGCAACATTGCAATTGGATGTGCTAAACCTGGATAATTTATATAAGGCGATGTGTAGAACCACGATTAATCTGAATCGCACCTTTAGTCGCTCATCTGTAAAATGTCCCACTGATTTGGATGAAGCGAAAGAAGCATGCGTTGAAACGTTCAAATGCGTCTCCGTTCATTCCGGCCGCTAACCGCGTCAACAGCAACCGCAAGCGACGCCAGGCAGGTGTGGCATCGCGACAGACTATGTGGGTTGGCTGTGTAGTCAAGGCCTTCAGCACGAGTGTTTGTACGTAACATGTTGCGACGGTTTTTTAGTAGCCCAACGTGGATAAGGTCTCTTGATTTCATACTGTCGCAGAAGAACGATGCTATTCGTGGTTGGGGTCGATGTTGTTTATAACCATGCTGAGGCCCTGCTAACCCTAGTGTAGGGGATCCAATCATGCCACAGCGCAATCCGAACATCGTATTGACCTTCACATCTCTAACAAACTCGAAGTTAATTGGGTTATGCGTCCGGTGTACTTGTATCGTGCGTAAGATGTTTGTCCGATGCGGTGGCGGCTTTGTTGGTTCTGTATATCGGGAGTGCGTGAGACCCGGTTTGACGCCTTCGGAAGAGAGCGAAGGGCGCGTAGGGGGAGGGGAGAGTCGACGGCGCGCAACAGCCGAAGATCAACAGCACCTGTCGCACTATTCGACCAATCGCAGCTTTGTTCGGCCCAAACGTGTTTGCTTGCAGCGTGGAAAACAGCGCTCCTGCTGCGATGGCCCAGATGGGCGGCCGTCTGCAGCTGGCTGTGTCTAATGGTCACTACAGCACGGGAAGCTTTCCTGCAGACGTTGACCGGGCCGCTCCATTTAACATAAGTCGTTGTCCTCCGAAAGACTGGTCTACGACCAATACCGTGAGCTAGCGGCAACGAACGGGCACTTCTGCCTTTCTGCACCTGCCGAATTATGCAAAACCGGTGTAAAGTATGCCGTATTCTGGACTAAACGTGCCTTGAACTGAAAGCTGTGTTAAACTATGTTTTATGCTTAATCCATATGATGGTGCGATATAACAGCCTCTTGCGTAAGCCCCACTTCTGTTCGTACCTTTCGAATGGATTAAATGTGTTCGTTTTTTCTGTACGGTTTCCATGTGGTCAGGCCTTAGTAATGGTGGGATACATAGTAAATAACCCAGGCCTCATTCATCAGACCACGCAGATCAAATTGGTCCATTAATGAATGTTAAGGTGTCAAGTGAGGTTAGCGTGTCAGGCAACCGTCATTATCGTGCCACATTATCGAGCCAGACGGCATCGTTTCTGGTGACCCGTCCGGGTGGCATAGTCCAAATACCAGCGCCTACTGCGGTTAATATGGTTTTAGGGACTTATCCTGTTTCCAGCGCAGCTTTGCGTCACACGGAGCTGATAGCACTATCATGAGGCAGCGGTATGTTGCCTTTACGACTGTACCATTCCCCTGCGATGCATCGCTTATGAATAAATATCCACCTTTAGATATGTGTTGACGACGGTGGTTAATATGGGATTGAAAGACAAAGGATGTGATAGGATCAGTCACCGTGTATTATGTTTTACCTACTAATAAAGCTACTTTTATCAGGAACTGTTTTGGTTGGTTGGAAAGAACGTGCGTGATTCAAGATATCAAGAGTATGTACCGAGTATCCTGCAACTTAGCGTCATTGCTACATGTGAGACAATAATCATACACCTGGATGTCGATTCCTCAGAACGATTGAGGACGAGGGGAACAAAGTCGAGGAAGTCGCCATACAGGGACAAGTACGAAAAACTTCTCGGATTTCACTCACTTTTCTCTACTTATCATTGTAAATAGATAAGGAATACATATATACATAAATATACATTGGCAGAATCCTTCCTTTCATGCATTTTTTATTAAAAATGACCGTAGGCTTAGCACTGACAAGCTTTTTAATCCATCGTAAGAGTTTCCGGGCTTTTGACTAAACCTTATGCTTTAGATCAAAGATAGTTCGTGCCAAATCCTTCACATAGTCGTCAAACCTTTACACTCTCACGTTTCAAGATCTTATCTCATCGTCGGAGAAGTCTCAATGGCAAGTTTTGAGCTTTAAAGGATGCAAAATGTGCATTGCTTTTGGAAACATCTGTTAGTACGGAAAAGACAAATGAAGACAAGATAGAGTCGTGTAATTTACTTTGATGCATATAAAATACACCCATAATGGAAACACTAACGAAATAGTATAACGAAATAACGAAACAAAGACACGAATACATTGCTACAATTGGATCAATAGTACTCACTGCGCACCACCTAACGACTCAAGGATTGTGCAGGAATTTGTCTGTTGGAAGTGGAGAAAGCTCGCTAATACCTATACTTACCAAATTTAAAGGCATCTTATTCCATTGCACATCTGAAGAATGTCATTGTTGCCTGTCAGTTGTTGTGTCCATGTCCTGTCATGTTCGAGTCGCATGTGGTCCAAAGGTGCCCCGTATATTGTAAGTGTATTGTCAGGCGCCGTGAGAGTGCGGTGCTCACACCACAACGACGCTATCACTTTGAATGAATGCAGATGAATGCCTTTCTGTATACACATGTATATACATATATATATATATATATATATATATATATATATATATATATATATATGTGTGTGTGTGTGTGTGTGTGTGTGTGTGTGTGTGTGTGTGTGTGTGTGTGTGTGTGTGTGTGTGTGTGTGTGTGTGTGTGTGTGTGTGTGTGTGTGTGTGTGTGTGTGTGTGTGTGTGTGTGTGTGTGTGTGTGTGTGTGTGTGTGTGTGTGTGTGTGTGTGTGTGTGTGTGTGTGTGTGTGTGTGTGTGTGTGTGTGTGTGTGTGTGGTGTGTGTGTGTGTGTGTGGTGTGTGTGTGTGGTGTGTGTGTGTGTGTGTGTGTGTGTGTGTGTGTGTGTGTGTGTGTGTGTGTGTGTGTGTGTGTGTGTGTGTGTGTGTGTGTGTGTGTGTGTGTGTGTGTGTGTGTGTGTGTGTGTGTGTGTGTGTGTGTGTGAGTTGTTCTATGCATTAGCGAGGAACATTATTCACAAAGGTGTGACAGTAGTATTAGCCTCATTCCTCGGATAAAAACCAGGAGAATGGAGATAATGCTGGGTTTACATTTGGGTTCATATTTCGGCAATATGCCTTTATTGAAACAATAGCAGAAGTGAATTCACTTCTGCTATTGTTTTGACCAAGGCATGTTGCCGAAATATCTACCCAACTTTATCTCCATTCTCTCGGTGTTTATCCGAGGAATGAGGCTAACATTATTGTCTGATATATATATATATATATATATATATATATATATATATATATATATATATATATATATATATATTCACACTTCCGACACGTGTTTTAGATCATGTGCGGTGCCATAACAATCACATATGGAAGCGTGACAGTTTGCATCAGTTTCTTATAACCACGCCTATTTTGTGAAGCTGAAGGGGTGCAGCTGCACCTCTCTCTAACATACTGGAAAGCAAAATATATGCATAATGCTGATCAGAATGCTGAATATGTGCTAGGGCTGTATTTAGATTTGAAAAAAAACCATTTCACACTGTTAACATACACCTTATTCTACGTAAACTTACTAAATGTGGCATTCGACGAAAATCTCATGAAATCATTTCTTCTTATTTGTCTGGCAAAACTCAATAAATAAGGATTAGGACTGATATATCATCACTCAAAAATGTAATAATGGGGGTACCCCAAGGATTAATTCTCGGCCCAATTCTGTTCTTAATGTACATAAATGACCTGCTTAAATTAAGCAGTAACATGATTTGCCTCTCTTACGATGATGATGCTGCGATTATTTAAAAAATAAAAGTATTGTGGAACTTCAAAACAATGTCAATACGCTTTTGCTTCTAATGAATTCCTGGTTTCGTGCAAATTTTCTTTCCCTGAACGTATCAAAAACATTGATACAGCATTACATTACCTTTTCTTCGTATTTCCAACTAAATGTACAAATAAACAATTCAGCTATCGAAGAGAAAAAATAAATCAAATACCTTGGTGTACCCACTGACATGTCTCTTAAATTTACAAGCCACATCAATCTCGTTGCAAGCATATTAAGTAGAAATATTGGAATTATAAGTAGGACTAGGTACTTCATTGATAAAACAACGTCACATCTACTCTATAGCGCTTTAATTCTTCCTCAGTTAAATTACTGTTGTTTGATTTGGGGTGTAAATTATGCTTCTCAATTAGATCGATTAGAAATTTTGCAAAAAAAGAGCTGTGCGTCTGATAAAAAATGTGTACTCTCCACAAAGGTTCGAGCCAGTCTTTAAACGATACCAAATCTTGAAACTATCGGGTATCGCTAAATCCCAAATGTTAATTGTGATGCTCAAATTTGTAGCCTCATGGCTCGCTGCTTAATTCGATTTAATGTGCAAGCTCTACGAATCAAGTGCCATGGAAATGAGGCGAGTAAAACATTTGGACCAGCCTTTCCCTAATGGTAATGATAGGCCATTTCCAACATTTTGCCTTGGCCCTAAGCTGTGGAACGACGTTATAGTTTTATAGCTTCCACGAATAACTGATGTCTCTGCATCCAAACCATCGTTAAGAACATCATCCGCAGGCATTTCGTGAATATATACTAATGCAACCAACGTATTTGAAGATATTGCAATCCTTTGGGCCGCACATATGTAACGCACTTCATGTTTAATCTCCTTCGTGCTCCATAATCACGTTCTAATATAGTCAAAGTCATGCACACGTACCCAAATTCATGGCGCTGGCTCCGGGAGTTCTCCTAGCAACAAGCTCCGCTTAGATGGGTGGACTCCCTGGACATCCAGCTCAAAACCTAGCACGAGAATGACCAAGTAATTGCTCCTCCGACCTGTGGGACTGTATAATCCTTACTAACGCTGTGAATGAGCGGTTGTAGCTTATTGAGTGCTTATGGCGAGCTGTCATTAGCTGACTTTGGTTAATGACTTCTTTAAGCCTTCTCATGTATGATTTTTCCTTGCCTCTTACATAATACAATTCATTGGGGTCTGCACCACCTCTTCGCCCGCTTTTTTACGTTTATTCCCTCTTCCTAGCTGGGGGTGCCGCGACTTGATTTTATGTTTCCTGGTGTTAACGTACGGTTTATTGCTTTGCTGGGATAGAAGGAGGGGCACTCTTGGTCACCTGTTCCTGGGTAACGGTATATAAAAAATCACGCGGTTGGGGCATTTACGATGCACCTACCCATGTGTTTACAGAAATAGAGTGCCAACAAATATATGTGATTATCGCAACCCGGTTTTAATTCAAGTTTTCAACACACCAAAACTACATCGATAACGCATTTCGCATTTACGCATAACGCGTTTTAATTGATGTAAGACAAAACATTATCAGTACTCGACCCATGATTTCAGGAAATGGTCCTCTACCTTCCCCAAATATGCTTAGGTAAGTGCCCTCCTACTCTGATTGCTTTTTCCCGCCCGTTCCAATGAACACGCAGGAAATGGTTCTCTGCCTTCCCCAGTTATGCTCACGTAGGTGCCCTCCTACTCGGATTGCTTTTCCCCGCCCGTTCCAATAAACACGCATTGCGAGCCGGCTGTATTTCTGGGTGGCACCGTTCCAAACTGTTGAGCCTCTGAAAAGTGGCCCTGACCGACTTCGGTTCGGACGTATGGCAAGTAAGACGTCCGTCATGCCAACGGCATGCGCAGCGCGGATTGATTGTGATAGCGTTGCTAGCTGATCTGGCTCTTCTGTGACCATGGGATTATACTGATGCGCGCATGGTCGATGGTAAGTGAGCTCACCCAAGCATGACCGCCGCCAGGGTCTTGGTAGGGGACGGGCACAGGGCCGACAAACGATACCCTCCTGGTTAAAAGCCCCCCAACTCAAAAAGTCGCCGGATATGACCCACGTGATTTCGAGTGGCACAACTTTCTTTGTATAGTTTTGCAAAGAAAAAGGGCCCCTGGGGATAGAACACTAGGGAGCACGTTGTATTCCCGTCAGGGGCTAAAGGGCAAGCCCGTTCAAGCATGGCATGCCTGCCAACTGTCATGCTGGAGACACGAGGCGCCGAATCCCCGGGTCAATACGTAAGCCCTCATAGGTATCTATCATATGTTGACCGTCTGCCTGGCGTCGGAAGCTCCTGACTGGGGCTTGATTGGAGCCCAGGACTGACGCAGGGACCCTCATTGGCGCCATAAAGCCCTTATCACCGCGGGTGCCCAATAACTGGCTCAGAGAGTCCCTTTCGGCATAACGAGCGCCCAACGCGAGAGGTCCCCTGACATTCGGGGTTCCATCCCTGTTCCTGTTCAGAACATGTTCCCATGGCCGATTCGGGATCCCTTTGCCGACGAAGGACCTTTTATTAGGCACTGTGGACCCCTGGCAGATACAGGGAACCTCATTGTTTCAGGTGTCCCGACCAAAGTAAATCGCTGGTCCCGGATCTTATCCCTGCTTGGGAAATAAATCCTCAGGGTTCAGTCCAACACAGTGTTTACTGTTCGGTGTTGGTGGTCTCTGACCAAAACAGAGGCCCCCCATTGCCTCAGGGTTTCCCCAATCGGTGCAAGAGACGTTCTGACTGACATTTGACCCGATCCTGAGGGTCGGGGTTCTTAAAGGGAGCGTTCCACACTTGAAGATATTGAAGCAAACACCAGATATCATAAAATGAGCTCACTTATAGCTATTGATACACTTTTAAGTGGAAAATCATGTTCTGGACAACACGGTTTCTTTATTTAGTAAACATGCCTCCCAATATATCACTTGTGTATTGCGTCATCGTACCTTGCACAACATTGACTGAAAACCAATATCGGTTCCGGAAAATCTGGAAATCGTGCTCGCAAACGCCAGATATGAACGACTCGACCACAATGGTTGTATTGGCCTTATCGGCGCATGGCCAACGAAGTCGCAGAACTTGAATGACTGTATTGTTAGTACGTCATGGGTGCCTCGGTGACCTTGAAATGGTCTGCATTAACTAGCCTGCACACCTCCGTGGGCGTTTAGCCCACAAACTAGGGAGGTTTAGGTCTTAAGAAGGGCAGGTCTGTGTACTGCACGGAACATCTCCAAGATGGCTATTTCAGCTCAAACCCACATACAACTGTGGAACACCCATTTTAATGCCCTCTACAGGCACCTACAAACACAAATGCCTGCTTGAAGGGCTCTTCGGGGCCTCGGAGCGGGCATTTTATGGTCGGTCTCCTGCGGGCCCCTCGAATACTGGTGAAGGCCGACCGGCCTCCTTGCCAATACAAGATTCTTGTTAGGCACTGTGGGCGCCTGGCTGACACGGAGGGCCCTCATTGCTACAGAAGTCCCGACCAATGTAAATCGCGGGTCCTGGCCATGTCCCTGATTAGGAATTGGGCCCCCAGTCCCAGACCCGACGCCTGAGTCACCGAGGGGCTAATCCATCGCTTGTCACGGCTGCCAAGCCTCCACCACATCCGTGTCTCCGCGAAATAGGCTTGGGGGCTGAGCGCGGAAAGCTCGCCATCGAATGCATAAAAACAGGTTTCTCCTCGGATTCGACCCACTTTGCTTTCGACGTAATAGAGTTGGAGTTGTCCCGACAGAACAAGATACTACAGCCATGCTGTAATGCATTTCCTTACCCTGCTTATGTTATGGTTGTTTATTGGTGTTTTCGGGCGCGCCGACTGCAGTGGTCATTTGGCGCCTCACTCTGTCTCGGCGGGGGATGCTGTCGTTGGGCATCATTACCATTCTCTTTGGCGTCGATCGTCGAAACCCGGTTTTGGAGACCGACGTAGGGTCGATGTCGTAAATTCAGACGTCGTTGGACGCGTGCGGCTTCGAGAGGAAAGAGTGTAAGTTCGTGTACGCGGCTATTAAAGGCTCCCACAGAAACCCTCGGCCGGTGGCCACAAGGCGAGGTGAAGGCTGCGACGCAGCATTGCGATAGGCACGTCCGACACGGCTAATGTTTTGGTGGTCATTGTTGGACGATTACGTTGGTATCAGATTTGTCGACTGGTGACGATCGTCAGGTTTTCATAGGTGTTCCACCGGGTATCCCCGTAGAAGTAGAGGCCAACCCATTTCAAAGGTGCTTACAAACGTCGGCGGTTAACAAATCGGTCACGTTTTTGGTTGCTTAATACTCCATTGTTTGGTTTCATTGTGCGATAACACGTCGTGGAAAAGCAATGCAACTTGCTGAAGCCAGTCAACTTGCCGGTGGAGACAAGACCGGTGTCAACAAGACAAAATCACAAACACAAATCCACGCCCGTGGCTACACAATAAAATGCTTGCCAAAGGTAGAGCAAAGCATGGAAGGCACGGGATCATCTCTAACTCATCCCCCCCCCCCTTTGAGCCAGTTGATGTACACCACATGCTCGACATTTTTTCAGGAATTCGGTCGAGATTTTGTAAGAGCTTTTTGTAACTTGGATGTTTACCACACCCGCGAGGGAAACTCTGGTCATGTTCCTTCAACTTGTCATGATAGCTGCACTTTGCACATTCTTTCAAAGAGCCATGTGACCCAGGGACGCGTCTCGTGACTCGTTGTCATGCCACGTAGTCATGATGGTTCCGTCGACATCAGGGATACTGGCAAAGTAGTGGATAAGCTGCACGTTTGGGAAACTAGAGGCACGGGGTTCAATTGTCCACAGTCCTCACCCTTCACGCCAGGCTGAGAGGCAGGCCATGCTGTGCACCATTGGGGGGGGGGGGGGGGGGCATCGTAGAGCCCAGTGCCATGGAGAACACGCTAGATTAGTGAAAGTTGAAGTACTCCCGGACAATGTTTACTTCACTCGCCCGTTTTATCCCGTGTTCTCATGCCTAGTGATATGCCGGGATACTACTCTCATGCCATGCCCCATCAGGGGGGTGACGGGAACATCAAGCATACATGAAGTGAATTTTGAACACCTGTGCCCTTCGACGTATGAGTGAGCTCCACCACAACACAAATGAAACAAGTGGAAAATATTTGGATTAGTGCAGCGGACAACACACCTTCTGCTCGCAGACACATCCATAACTGATTCTGAAGAAATAAGCAGGATACGTTTGAATGAAAATTGGACAACTCAAGTTGTTTCGTTTTCTGAAAACATTCACACCTTTTCCAGCACTAGCTTCGGGTAAGTCTACAGGGATTAGCTAGTAGATATTATGGCATATATATGTATAAATATAGATATAGATATAGATATAGATATATATATAATATTATATATAGGAGAGAGAGAGGAGAGAGAGATGAGAGAGAGAGAGAGAGACGAGAGAGAGAGCTAGATAGAGATCGAGAAGAGCAGAGAGAAGAGAGAGAGAGAGAGAGAGAGAGAGAGAGAGAGAGAGAGAGAGAGAGAGAGGAGAGAGAGGAGAGAGAGAGAGAGAGAGAGAGAGAGAGAGAGAGAGAGAGAGAGAGAGAGATAGAGAGAGAGAGAGAGAGAGAGAGAGAGAGAGAGAGAGAGAGAGAGAGGGAGAGAGGAGAGAGAGAGAGAGAGAGAGAGAGAAGAATAGAAGAGAGAGAGAGAGAGAGAGGCCGCGGCTTCCAGATGTCCATGGGCCAGCCCCCCTTATGAGGCTATTGGCATAGCACTCATCCATATAAATGTTTCGATGGACGTATACGTGTTGCATGAATGCGCATAATGCTCCTGGCGCCTCATTGTGCACTCAAAGTACGACGGTTGCTTTGACAGGCTGCACGAGGTTACAGAATAGCAGCAGGTTTACATGATTTTCGCTTCACCCATTTCGGACGCATTGTTGATACCAGTATTTTCCAGGAAATATCAAAATTGCGCTGCGAATCGAGGACATGAAGGATATCTTCTTCTCAGGCGTGAAACAAAAATTCGGAAGTCACTTTTCTCTTGAGACATCAGACATACGTTGCACAAACAATTCGCGATAAAATCGATCACAGAGACACGAAACCTGCGCAGAAACTTAAGTGACCCAAATGTTGTTTCCGTCGTCAAAAGACATTTCGATGCACTGAACGCATGCACCGTGCATACACCTTTCCCGACAGCGACACAAATTTGGAATAGAATGAACCCATACGGTCATTCAGGCCAATGATCTAAACGCATCAGCAATTTCTTGATGGGAGGTTACAATCGATAGACAGGTTCAAATACGCTCCGTTCCTCAGGCGCGGATTTTCTTTGTGTAATGGCGTTTATACAACATGAATGCCATCTCAGCAGCAAATTCTTTCACAAGACATTTTAGATTTACCGTCTCGCGACATCACGAAGCTAACGTATCGTAAATATAGCAGTAGCCAGGCATCCTCGGCGAGGATTCTCGCAGCTGTAGCGTTCTGTTACCCAGCTATGTGTGGTCACAACATCGCGCAGTGCTCTCACGGCCGCACCTCCGCCCATTTTCACTTAACCACAACAAAGAAGCACATCACCCCGCATGCGTGGCGGAGACCTACAAAAACTACACCGGCGTTCTCGCACCAGGGACTTCCACTCTCCCAAAGCTTCGCTACAGAGCCTCATGACTAGCTAGGATGTCCGACGGCGGGACGGCGCCGAAGGGGTGGCAAGCCCAGAACACTTCCGGGACTCTTCCCATCCGAGGGAAGCCCAGAACTCTTCGGATGCCCGTCCTGGATTGGCAGACGCCAAAAAACCTCACGAGCACCGTGGTAACGGACGGGCGGAGACGAAGCGCAGTTCGGGGTGCTGGGAAGTGTCGTCGTGGTCCGTAGGGAAACGAAGTGCTCCTGGTGTCTCCTGAAGAGGCTCCACACGGGGTTCCCATTGCGATTGCGACTTGTGCAACTAGGCACGTCAAATGGAGCTCAACCGAGTCATACTGACTGGAACGGGAAGCAGGAACGTTAGACACCACACCACGTCACGAAATTCGAATAGCGTCAATATGTGCGTTAAGGAGTCTTTTAAGTATGACTCTCATCTATACCCACGAATCGCGTAAGCTGTTGCAAGTGTGAAACGAGAAAACAAGGCTCCGTGGAAAGCGTCTTTAAGGCCTGTTTTGGCGAAAAGTGTTTCTTAATCAATTGCTTTCTTCGACCATAAGCTGCATAAATACAAGCAGATCGCAGAACGTAAAGAAACAGCCGACAAGTTGGAGCAGTTCCGGCATGTCCTGATAGGGGAGACAATGGACGCATTTAAACACTTCGGCGTCTGCTTCCAATTTCCATCTCGTCCAAGGACAGATTTCGTGGCCCTTACCACACGATCCGCGGCAGCAGGCGGCGACCGAGCATCTGGTGGAGTGAAATGTCAAACGGTGGTCACGGACAGCACAATGCCGCCGCTCAGGGTAGGCTTTGTGTATTTGGAGGCCTCTTCGCTGTGGTTCCTCCTCCGCGATGAAGTGGGGGGTCTTCTCTGAAAGTTTGCATTCAAGCTGCCTTGCGCAGTCTGAAACAGCAGCAAGGTTATCATCGGGACGATGCCGACGACGGGTGATTATAATAGCAAGTGGGCTCTGCGCGCCCATATCGCCTCATTACGTCTATATTTGGCCTGTCCTAGTTTATCCTTCGCATTAGCATCGACACGAACCAGTGTCGATAGCCTATACAGTTCACAGAGTACACACCTTTCCGTACAGTTCAACAGCTGGCAGAGACATCAGTTCGCAGGGTACACACCTATTCGTGCACTTCAACCTCTGGAAGAGACATTTATCTGGCAGGGCACAGAAATGGACATCGCCGACCAACAAAAGAACGGTTTTAGTGCTAGGAAACGTTGAATAAAACTTTGCAGCAGTAGCACTCTTGCAGAAGATTCGCGACCAGGCCACCGGACAGGTGGAATTAAACGCAAACAGGTCTGACGCCTACCAGTCGTTTTCGCAAGCTTAGCTCGTCCCGTGCGCCATCCTCCGGGAAGCATGCCGTTTGGTTTCTTTCCTGCAGTTTCATCTTCTTTTCCCTAGCGTGCACCAGCTGCCGCTTCTTCTCTTCTTTAGGCCAGTAGCGGCCCAGCTGGAAAATCGGCCGTGGCTCGCAAGCTCTCTCAAGCCAGCACCAGTCGTACGCAGGCCACTGAGCTTCAGTTGACTGGGTCTGATAACCCACGCGAGTAGGGCTCCAAAGGAATTCCAAAACGTTCAGTGCAATGCTATGTCCTATTGTGGAGCACAACATCGGAATGTCGCTAGAACATACGAAAGCGCGAACATTGGCGATAAAAACCGAAGCCAGGAGGCAATTCATCGAACATATTGCTAGACAGCGATTGAGACTGATCATGTGGTTGTGTCGCGTAATGCGCCGCACAAATTATTTTCGTATGTGTAAAACGAGGTTCCCACACATTTCCATGACTTGTGACGTCGTCTGGTGTCGGTTGAGCCTACCCTTCCCCCAGTCAATCTCTGCCTTCCGTCTGTCCCTCCCTCCCACCTTGAGCTCGGAGACAGCGTCGTCATCTGTGGTAACGCCGGTTCGCTCCTCAGTGATGCGTGCCGCCCTCTCCTTCAGCATCTGCTTCCTGACGGGGCGACGAGCGATGTATCGCGAGCCGTCAGAGCGCACTTTCACCTTGTACTGGAACTGCGTCTCTCCGAGCCCCCTGTCGGCTGGTAGCGTGTGACTGTGGTTCTGCGCGGCACCGCCAGGGGAGCTGACGTAGCGATACTGCTCCAGCGACCCGGCGAGCGGTCGAAAGTGCGACGTTATTGGCTGTGTTGACGGCTTCGCTCTGTCCTGTTCTTGGCGCAGAGCGCGCTGGTATAGCTGCCGATGCTGGAGGCGCATCGTCTCTTGCAAGTGCGCTGCGTTCGTGTAGCTCATGTGCTGCGGAGGGAACGCCACAAAGTTGCGGTTCTTCTCCACGGTATTGGCGCTATTAATGATGTTTTTGTTCTTGGTCGCTGCCGGCTGCAGCGGCGGCAGGCGCATACATGTGCGGCAGCGTTGGCAGGCGACGTCACTGTACATGCCAGGATTCACGCGCACCTGCTCGTTCACTTCTCTCAAGGCCGGGGCCGTCTCGCGCCTCGCCTCACCTTCAAGCAAGGTCAGCTCGAGCGTCAGCGGCTCGCCCGCCACCTGAGGCGGCGCCTGCCTGCCGCTGTTGCTCTCCCTGTCGTTGGTAGCACTGGCTCGCTGACACGCGTCGGTGCGACCGGCGGCGACACACACCCAGCTGGCCAAGCGACAGAGCGGTGCCGTCTCCGGCGCCGGCACCGGCGGCGGTCGCGGCTCGTACGGCTGACAGTACAACGGCTCGTCCGGCTCCGTGCCCTCGGGGATCGTCTCGTAGATGTGATCAATGACCTGGCGGCGGCGCGAGGCCCACTGGCGGCGCGCCAGCGACTCGCACTCCTGCTGGATGGACGCCATCTGCCGGTGCACAAGCAGCAGCTCCCCGTCCATTGTCGGCAAGGTGGCGCTCTGGTGGCCTGTCGGCGAACTGCTGCTTCCACTACTGCCGCTGCTGGTGCTGCTAACACTGTTGCCACTCTTCATGGTGTCGCGCTTCTCCTGCGAGATCCGTTCGCCGTTGCCTTCTGCCGATAACGTGTCGACCACCCTGGAACGTGCGAAGAAGTTGGCGAAGAAGTCAATGACGATCTCGCCAACGCAAACACCTTCGTCATCCTCATGCTTGAAGGTTCTTTATCAAAATTCAAAGAACGAAAACAGACATGTCTGTCGGGTGATACACATGACCAAAGGCCTGAGACGCTCTAAAAACACTGCACGCAAGCACGCACGCACGCAAGCACGCACGCACGCACACACGCACGCACGCACGCAAGCACGCACACACTCAAGCACGCACGCACGCACGCACGCACACATACACGCACGCACGCACGGCTAGAGCCTGATAGGTTCAGGGGAGCTTCTATGACATTGCTTATGGAAGCGCGCTCACAGCTTGCTGAGTCCTGTGGTAGGCGTACCTGTTATCTAGCGGTCGCTCAAAGTATGTGGGTTGTGGAGACGTATTCGGTTCTTCGGTCCCCACGTGTTCCAAAACGCAGTCATACTCTGCCTAGAAATAGAGCAGTCATGTCAGCCCCATAATCCATCGTGCTGCCATGACATGGAAAAGGCCGAAGAACGATGCTTGAAGTCGCAGCACAAGCAAACCGATAGGAAAAAGGCCAAATGAAAAAAAAACATATTCTCAAGCCTACTACCCTTAAACTTTCGTCATTCCCTCCTTTTTCCCCGGTGCCTCAACCCTATGATCCTTGGTTCTTAAGGCCTTCTCATGTGTAAGTTGGTGCCTGTGGACGTGTTTGTGTGACCGTTTGTATTTTGATGGTTTAACTTTCAGTCCACTGGGGGTCATCCCATTAACTTTTAATTCGTTTCCGTTTTGTTCCGACACGGAGACCTAAATTCGCAAAGAACGGAAATCCGGAAAACGTGGCTCGTTCTACGTCGCTAACGTCTGTCGCTTTCCATAGGTAAACCATCACCACCGGCAACGTTGATGCTGTGTGCGTTCCCTGAACACTGAGCATCCCGCGTCACACTCCAGCCGGCGGTCCCACAACCACCGGGGCGATTCAGCACCAGTCTTTCACCCGGAAAAACTACGCCGTATGTGGTCCACCGACACGTCCGTCGTCATCGAGTGGAGCGGCAGGAGAGCGGCCCAACGGGCCAACAAGCCCCCGCGCGCGCAGCACCAGACAGCGCGCTATTGGGGCGCCCTGTTGGCCGCTGGGGTGCTGCTGGGGAGCCCTGCTTGTGCTGGTGGGTACGGTGAGTCATACTGCGGATATTTTGCAGGGGTTGGGGATGACTGTCGGGGAACAGTTGGCAGCCATATAGTCTACTAATTTCGTTGGAAAATGACGAAGCATTGCACAAACCTAAGGCAAGTCGTGTAGCTATTTTGGATGCGCTTGCTAAAGACCCGCTTTCGCAGATCCCACGTCAACGTTGATCAGACATGGATTCAAGTGGGCCATGCCTTAGATATAATCAAAGAACCAAATTGTGAGCAGAGTATGTTAAAAATCTGGTGGACGACTCACCAAAAACAACTATCAATAGTTGTTCAAGGCAGCCCGTTTGCTTGAAAAAGTCCATCTTTTAAACCACGGAGTTTCTTAGATGGCCTTTTATTGGACAAAACTGTTGAACATTCGATAGCCATCTCGTCCATTCTCATCTACATTACCGCAACGCTTAGTGATCTCCGGCCTGGACCCACTGGCCTGGAAAGACCGTCAGTTGCATTCATCTGGCACGTGCCATGCAAGGGTCAAAAACAGGGTTATGGCCCTTTTTATATTTTGAATCAGGCAGTTGAAAATAAGATGCAAAATGATGTGCTGACCTACACGAGCAGCAGCACTTTCTACCTGTGTGTCACAGGAGAGCATGGTGAAAGGTCGGCGGTGTCGTCACCTGTTCGGCGGGTCGGCAGACGAGCAGAGTGACGTCCGGTTGGCTGGCCAGCAGACGCTCCGCCTCTTCCCGGCTGCACACATCCACACCGTTGATCTGAGGACGGGACGGCCGCGTCAGGCATCGCGCTAGACGCTCACACCTCCGCTGCGCGCTTCCACGCCGATGATCTGAAGATAGCAGCTGAGGCGGACCACAGGCTGTGGGTGGGCGTGCCGTTTGACGACTGACTCCAGGGCGCGCGACAGCTGCACCGCCGGCTCGAGCGTGGATGTCGTTTGTAGGGTGAGGAGCCTCCGTCTTGCGGCCGCTGGATCATCCTGAGGGTTGGGACCGCCACCCCCCCCCCCCCCCTCCTCTCCCCCCGGCTTCACCATGACTTTCCCGTTATTTTCCCGTCCCGATACTCACAACGCTGCGGTCCCTTGGTCCTCACACCGCTGTGCTGCCCTGGTCCGCACATCGCTGCGTTTCGCCGGTCCCCACACCGCTGTGTTCCCAGGTCGTTACTCACACCGCTGCGGTCCTCCCGGTCCTCACTAACACCGCGGCGGTTCCCCGATTCTCACGCACACCGCTGCGGTCCCCCGGTCCTCACTCACACCGCTGCGGTCCCCCCGGTCCTCACTCACACCGCTGCGGTCCCCCGGTCCTCACTCACACCGCTGCGGTCCCCCCGGTCCTCACTCACACCGCTGCAGTCCCCCCGGTCCTCACTCACACCGCTGCAGTCCCCCCGGTCTCGAAACTGTCGCGCTCTCCGCTGACCTCTTGGCCGCGCGGCCTTGCACCGGCGGCGGCGCGTCTCCTTTGATCTCATCCCTGACAGCGTGACCCGTACGCCCGCCGGCGGCGCCGCTCAAAGGAGCCGCCGCCGCAGGAGCAAGAAGACAGCGCCCGAGCCACACGGTCACGCGCCGCGACCTGTTTTGATGCGGCGCGCGGCCTCGCGCCAAACAAGCAAACACCACCGCGTGTCGGCTGTGCCGCCTGCGTGCTCCGACAGCCGGCTCTGGTGCCGCCGACTGGGGCGACGCCCTTGGGAAATGCCGCGCAGACAAACCAGCGGCGACTGGGGCCGTGGCCGGGCACGACCGTGGATGAACCCATGTGGACAGTGACGGATGGACGTGCTAGTCGGCGTTGGAAAATGGTATGTTTACACCAAATTCACGTTTCATTCCTACAAATCTGAAGTCGAATGATAATTGGCTTCCGGAGTTGTGGGCCACAAATGACCTCACTGACCTGGACGATGCGATCCCCGGCCTGGACACGACCGTCCATGTCGGCGATGCCTCCCACATCCATGCTCTGCACGAGCACATCGGTCTGCTCGTCAACCTCGTTCCCGTCCGGGTAGTACAGGGTCAGCCCGAGGCGCTCCGAGGTCAGCGACCTATGCAGTGTCACCTCCTGTGGACAAATGTCGCGCTTGAAGTCCTGCAAACGTGTCGGGGGCACATTCCGAGGAAACATCAGTCGCGACGCGAGATGGCGGGGATTCCAAACGAACACTGATGTCACCTGGGGTTTGCGAAGAGACGGGCTTTGAGCGAACCATTTCGGACGAAGGCGACGCAAGCGAGACACGGCCGCAATCGATGACTGCGCCGAATTCGGCGCATTGTTGAACCACGACGCATCTGCGCGACGTTACGTAGAGGCGTCAGCCGTCACCGAAAGTGGCGCCGCGGCCGCGCCAAGCCCGGTGGCTGCCAGCGCGTGTCGAGATGGCATCACGGGCGAACAATGGTGCCGTTGGGCCGGCCGTGCCCGGCGAGGCGCCGCCGACACCTATCAGCTGACATCGCTACGTCACGTGGCCACTTGGGCGGCCGGCCGGTGTATCGGCGGCCCCATCTGGAGCTCGCTGGTGCGCCGGAGGACGGACGGCCGCTCGGCGCCGCAGCGGAGGCCCGCCGCCGGCTCCTCGCATTCGACATCAAGGCACGGCTCTTGAATTGGGAGTGGTCGCTGAACGAAGGGCCTTGTATCCAAGGATTTAAGGCACAGGCATTCGAGAAATGCACCGCACTTTGTGAATGTCAAAGGGATGTCTAGATTCGACGACGCGCCCCTAGAACTCATAAAGTTATGCCTTACTATGGTTCATTCACACTCAAGGTACCACGCCTGAAGCCCGCGTGCAAATTGCATAGTGACAGTGTTGTGCTTAGTTTTGCGTACGACGAGTTCAAAGTGCTGCATGGGGCAAAAGTAGGTCAAGCCCGAGCGATATCTAAAAGCATCAATCAAGTTTCAAAGCCTCTGTGTTAAATCTACACCTTATAAAGAAAGCCATCAAACATGACCATCATGACACCGTGATGGCTGACACAATGCAATTGACGGGTACAAGAATGAAAGGTGAAATTGCATCATGAGCAGAGTGCAGAGAGACGGCGTTAACGACGGGCAGACACTAGCGCCACCTGGTGCTGCAACGATTCAATACAGAAACCCACTGAACGGCTGAGCGGCCTATGTGGCCTTCGAAGCGTAGCATGGCCGTGTATCCTGACTGCGCGGTGGCCTTCAACAGTGAACGCGACCCTCACTTATATACATGCGGACAGAAGCAGCCGATGTGATGGCTGATGGCCGATCTGCTTCTGAAAGAGCCGTCAGGAATGCAAAATACAACGCTGTTACTCGCCTTGGTCATTAACTGGCCGGTGACACCGACATAATAAAAATATGGCAATGTTTTCCAACATTCACAAAATATGACAATATTTTTCCAACGTTCTCAAAAACCTACACCATTCTGACGCCGCAGACAGACGGAAAGCAAATATATGTTCCTTGCGGTCGCTACTTGGCTCCAGGGCTCCCGCGCACTTCAGTCTCTCAGCTGCTTTGCCTCGCGCTCTGATACGGCTCTATTGCTGTAGAAAAACATGCGTTGATGAAATGGTGGCATCGGTGCTACCGCGTTCTTATCGTCCCAGGCCTATGTCGGAAATCCACGGAGGCATTTAAAAAAATTGTTTTGTCACATTCTGACGGCTGCTTTATTCAGTCCAAAGAAGGAATTGACCGAAAACCATATGATAAAAATGCTCACATCAATGGGTTAAGACAGCATGCTTAGACCCATTCCAAACAGTTGTTTTTTTTTTAAATCGTCGGACTATTGAGAGCTTTCGACGGTGATTTGGTTCCATGATGTATGAACCGCTTACAAGTATTTCCCCATTCACCAAATGATGTGCTAATTTACCGACGCAAAATGACAGAAGTTGGTGCGAAAGGTGAGCTTGTACGGCTCGTAATGCCATTTGTATTTGTGCATGTCATGAGGCAACCCCACACAGTACGGCTATCACGAGCATCGTGTAAAAACAACATATGACAGGGCGGGTGAAGAGGACAATGCTCAAGAAGAACGCAGAGCATGCATATGAACTTGCCTGATAACGTAAGCCGAGCAGTCACTAATCGGTACCTAGCTCGGAACACAAGGAAGTAGGCGGGGTGCCCAATCACGCGCCGTGTCAAGCGGATACGAATCGCTCCGTGGGGCCATTTGTTAGGTCAGTCAACGAACAACTCGCTTGCTGCGCAGCCTATGTTGCTGACCTAACCTCAAAATCCAGGTGTGCATCACCGGCGTCGTCGAAGCCATGGTCACTGGCGTCGTCGGCATCGTCCGCAAAGGGCGGCGGGGATGCAAACTCGGCAGGGGCTTGCCACGCCCACAGCTCCGTCTGCGTCGACGTGGTCACGTGCTCCGCCTAACGATCAGTGCGGCACATGTCACAAGGGTACAGGCCGGTCCGGCACACTCACGGGCGGACGCGCCAGCACCACACGCGCCGACGTATCACACCAGCACGGCACGCGTCACAAGGCGGGCGTCAGCGGTACACACCAGCACGGCACGCGTCACAAGGC